TGGTCTTTGACCAAGATCAATGGCTTTGTATGATCCATGTAGCTCATCTTATCTAGTAGGATAAATCCCTCAGTTGTGATATGTAAACTGCATGTTTGATGAACCAAGTCAACCAACAAGGTCAATGGCTTTGTTTTTAGCAGGATGTTACAACAGTAATTTCTTTCTCAGAGACATTTGTGCATAGGCTGTGCTGTCAGGCAATTAGGACTGCATTAAAATCACCATCAAGTTCAATGGCATGCTTTTTTTTTTTTGCCAAGATATCTGTGACAACCATGTTTTACATAATCTAGGATATGTTATCTAAGTATTTATGTGATGCTAGATGGCTATGTGTTCTCTATAGTTTTATTGCATTTCTTTTGTTGAAATATTATTCATCTTTGCTCCCAATGCAGGTAAAAACTGTTGTGTTTGATAAGACCGGGACACTAACAGTTGGGAAGCCAGTGGTTGTTAGTGCTGTGCTGTTTAATGAATTTTCTATGGAGGAGTTATGTGACATGGCAATTGCTGTGGAGGTATTTTTCTGCATTGATTATGGTACTTAGTGGATATTTGAATATTTGATTTAATGAAACTGAATCTAATATTGATAAAAAAAAAATAATTTGATTTTATCTTGTAACAAAAAAAAGTGTTTACTTGGGTGTATTTGATAAATATCAATAAATTTAAAATAGCATGAGATAATAACAATTTGCCTTCATTAATAGCATGACTGTGTTCAAACTGGATCAAAACAGAGGAGACAACAAAGAAAATAGACAATGCACAACTCGGTATTTGAGATACCTAATTCTCTCCCAAAGCCTAAAGACCCTAATCCTTTCACAAATGACTTGATGATCTCTCTTTGCCTCCATCTTATCTATATGGACAACATGCCTTATTTCTTCTGCGATCTCGGTTTGCCTAACTACTAACTAAATAGTCTAACTAATATATTGTAACTAACTACTAATGAATCTCTTACTAACATATCATAACTAATTACAAATGGGAGTTACCTAACAATTCGAGAACAACCTTTTAAAGAGAAATAATTGTTTTTCTAAAATTTTCTCAAGAACTGATAAAAACACAACAATTATTTTTCTAAAAAGATAAATGAAACATGCACTGATTTGGGGGAATGTATTCTACTTATGGTGTTCCCCACCAGATTTTGATTTGGTATATGAATTTGCAATTTGTTCACTGAGATGAAAAACAAAAATAGGAGAGATTCTCAATGACCCTAAACTTTTTCCAATCCAAATATATCTTAAGTCTATTTCTCCATAATGTTTAACGTAATTATTTGTACATATTTTAAGGCAAGTAGTGAGCACCCCATAGCAAAAGCTGTTGTGGCACATGCAAAGAGGTTGCGCCAAAAATTTGGTTCTTGCACTGAGGAAGTCCTGGATGTGGATGATTTTGAGGTACACATGGGAGCTGGTGTAAGTGGAAAAGTTGGTGATAGACCAGTTTTAGTCGGAAACAAGAGACTCATGCATGCTTCTAATGTTCCAATACGTTCTGAGGTTGAGAAGTACATCTCTGAAAATGAAATTCTGGCTAGAACTTGTGTTTTGGTTTCAATTGATGGAAAGATTGCCGGAGCATTCTCTGTAACTGATCCTGTAAAACCAGAGGCTAAACGCGTCATATCTTTTCTCCACTCCATGGGCATCTCAAGCATCATAGTGACTGGTGATAACTGCGCTACTGCAACTGCTATTGCAAATGAAGTCGGTATTGATAAGGTCTTTGCTGAGACAGATCCCGTGGGCAAAGCTGACAAGGTGAAAGATTTGCAGGTAAGGCTTGTAAGCTATATACAAAACTCATTCTAAAGCCAGTCTTTTTCAATTAGGTTTAATAAACTGATATAGTTGACAAACAATTGGTAATAGAATGATGTATGAGGTTCTATTGTTAGAGATCAATACATCATATGGTGATCAAGATGTAAACACTTTCTGATTTTTGAAATTGAAACTGGATGCAGATGAAAGGAATGACTGTGGCAATGGTGGGTGATGGAATAAATGATTCACCGGCCTTGGTTGCTGCTGATGTTGGCATGGCAATTGGTGCTGGTACTGACATAGCTATAGAAGCTGCTGATATAGTTCTGGTCAAAAGCAGCTTGGAAGATGTGATTACAGCCATAGATCTTTCAAGAAAGACCATGTCCAGGATTCGGCTGAACTACATCTGGGCGCTTGGTTACAACATTCTAGGCATGCCAATTGCTGCTGGAGTCTTGTACCCCTTTATTGGAATCAGATTGCCCCCATGGCTTGCTGGTGCTTGCATGGCTGCTTCATCTCTTAGTGTGGTTTCTTCCTCTCTTTTGCTGCAGTTCTACAAAAAGCCTTTGCATATAGAATCAACTTGATGCCCTACTTATGTCATCTAGTTTGACTTGACGGTCCACATTTTGGCCATAAGACTCAGGTCGGATGCAACTTTTGCTTATCCAAATATGATTCTTTTGAAGATTTGATATGTTCGAAAATAGGTGAGCATAATAAAGTGCAAATTTTCATGGAAACAATTGATCATCCATCTTGCCTAGACCAGTACCGGTCGTGTATATGAAGTATGTATATGCTGAGGTTACAACAACTAGGCTCTATTTTATTAAGTGAACCACAACAAAAATTAAAAATATAGTTAAAATGGTTAGACCAAAGAACAAGTACAACAATAATACATTAAATATCAAATCAAATTGATTTTAAATTGCCAAATTTATATAAAAAAAAAAAACAATTAAATTGAAAGGGAGAAAAATTGTACTTTATATTTTAATTCCGTTCAATTTTCAACTAAAAATTGAACTACTTTTAGCTGCTGTAGATTCTAGTTTTTCTCAATTAAATATCATTTACTCTTCATCAATAAATCTACCAACCTTTCACATATTTGTCATTTTAATTAACATCTTTTTTTATTTCTAATTTTTTCTACAAATTTGCTTCGATTTTTATGTTTCTTTTTAATGTAAATATATAATTAAATTAAAAGTCATAAATTGTTTTTAGAAAAATACAAGTTATTTAAAAATAAATAGACTAATTCAAATTGAACTACAAAGATTATATTTAAAATCAACCATATTGAACCACATTCTATTTATATTTAATTTAAATCAAATGGTAAATGTCCCTAGATAAGATTCATTATACTATTAGCCAAAAATTGAGTATTTGTATTGAAGTGATTTTTAATTTATGACAACATTGTTGTAATTTAATTGCACTTGTAGTTTTCATTTTAATTTATGTAAAATTTTAGTCCTTAATTTAAATTACTTGTATTTAATTTTTATAATTCTATTTGATAAGTAATGGGAATGTAAATTGAACTATATAAATTGACAAGAAAATAAGAAAAATGAATAAAATATAAATAAAATTGAGCTTTATATATATATATATATAATCTATTCAAACCAACGTCATGTTATATTTCTTTATTCGTTAGTTATTGGAAGAAATGTGTAATGAAGGCTTTATTTTTAACCATTGTGAAATTGTGAAAATTAAATTAAATAATTAAAAATAATAGGATTAAGTTGAAGTTAAATTTATAATTATTTAATGAATAATGCGATAAAAATAAAGAAATATTTAAGTTTAATAGTTTTATTAACAAACAGAATTTAATAGATAATAACTTTGAGAATTGAAAAAATAATAATGATATAATTAAAAGGCTTAAATATAATTTCTGCTCTAAAAATTTGTGATTTTTTTTATTTAATCCTTCTTCTCTTTCTCTTTTTATTATTAATTTTTTATTTAGACTCTTAATTATGTTTTATTTTTATTTAATTCTTATGTTAATAATTTATTAATTTGATTTATCATTTATTTAGATATATGAATTAATTCATATAATTTAACAAGAAAATAGCACGAAAGAGATGTGTCATTAACAACATCATATATTTTATATTTTTATATAAAAATTTCAACTGTAAATTTATAATTTTTAAAAGAACAAAATTTTATTTAAATTTAATTAAAAATCATGTGAATTATTGTGTGAAAAATTGATATAAAAAAATTAAAATACACATAGCATAAGTATTTAGATGATATAAATTATATAAATAATATTTTTTTAGTTAATTTAGTTATTTGAAAATCATTTTAATATTTTTTTTTTGCCGCATAAAGTATCTCTAAGTCTGCGTCAATGCTTCTGCACGTAGGGAGACTCGGTTGACACACGCCATCTCCTACGTACGTAACTCTACCGTCTCGCACCCATTTTTGCCACCTATAGGCTCACTGTAGCCTTGCAATTGTCAACTTCCCAATAAATCAATAAATTGTGAGAAAAATATTAATTTTTTAATAACCCTACATCAAGAAGATGACAAATTAAAAAAAAATAAATTATAAGGTATGATTAAGTACATATGTTAAAAAAATAAAAATAAAAATAAAAATAATATTTTAATTAAAAGTCATAATACTTAATGTTATTTATGCATAAAATTATGTTATATTTTATTATTTTTAATTAAAACATATTATATATAATTTTCACTGTATATTTTTAGCGTATATAAAAAAATAAATAAAAAATAATTTCAAATTGCAATCATTAGTGATAAAGACTTTGAAAATTCCACACATGAACTCCCTATTAGACTAGAATAAAATTTAAGTATAATTTTTTAAATATTATTAATACTGTTTAGTAATTAATTCTTAGGTTTAATTTTAATAATTGTGATAATATTAAATATAAAACTATTATTCATTAATAAATAGCACCAACCATACTTAAAAACGATATATAAATTATACTTTTTTTTATTGCAAGTCATAGTCATCGTTCTTGTTCAACTCCACCATCGTTTCCCCAGTGCCCCTCTTCCCCTGTATGCCAACCACATTGAATATAACCATTCCAAAAACTAATGCATCTTATTTAGAGAGTGATATACATATAAAAGAACAAAGAAATAGACACTTCTTAAGGAACAAGTAGCAAAGAAAGCAAAAGCTATGGCCTTGATTTGTCTTTTGGTCATTTCAATCTTATTCTCTATATCTAGTAAGTTGCTAGTTACTACCCCTTTTAATTTCTACCTCTCAAATGAACAAACACTTTTTCTTGTTGGGTTTAATTGATTTTCATTGTTCAAAATTGATTGATAAGAAACAGGTGGTGAAATCTCAGGGCAACCAGGAGTGAACTATGGGCAACTGGGGAACAACCTTCCATCAGCAACAACCTCAGTGAAACTCATCAAATCATTGAAAGCCAAACGCGTTAAAATCTATGATGCAAACCCAGAAATCCTCAAAGCCCTAAAAAACACGGGTCTTCAAGTTTCCATAATGGTCCCTAACCAGCTTGTCCTCAACGTCTCCACAAACCAAACATTCTCAGATCAATGGGTTCAATCCAACGTTGTACCCTTCTACCCTCAAACACTCATCCGCTACCTCCTCGTTGGCAACGAACTCATCAGCACTACAGGTTCGAATTCTTTTTTTTTTTTTTTTTTCCGATTAATATGTCAAATTAATTCATATAATTAATTACAAATTTCAGTTAATTTAATTCATTGTTGAAATTATCAAGCGTTTGTTATTCTAATTTCTATAATTTTAATGACTAAGAGCAATAATTTAATGACATCACCAACTAAAATAATTGTTCTTTTGGTAACTTTAGGTAATTTGTTTTCGTATTTTTAAACAACTAATTTAATACATTACTTTTGTAAATATCATTTTGAAAAAAAATGATATTATATCTAGTCGTTTGACTGACAGTGGATGATGTTAAATTTGATGATTTTTCCTTAATTTTATTCATAAAAAATTGTATATATATAATAATTTTAGTAAAAACTTTTATGTGTAAATTTATTTTTTAATAACATGATTAAATTGATTATGTTAAAAAATTGTTTACCTTATTTTAATTATGTCGTTAAACTGGATGTTTATTCTTTATGTTATAAATCATGTGCGGTTATCGTTTTCCTGATTTTAATTATTTATATTTAATTTTTAAAATTTATTTATAAATTAATTTAAAAATTATATATATAGTTTAATTTGTTGACATAAAAAATTAAATTTAGACATTTTTATTTTTTAAATAATTTTTTAAAAATATAAAATTAACTAATTCATCTTTTAAATCAGTTTATATTATTTTAATGATTATATATATACATATATATATATATATATCAAGTTTTACATAACTTTAACGTAAATAAATATGTTATTAAAATTTGATATTTATTTATTTAAAAATATATTATTTATTAAATAAAATAATGCAACCAAATATTTATTTATTTTATAAAATTTTAAAAAAAATAATTTGATTTATAACTACCTTATTAAAATCCCTGTAAAAAGTTATTAAAAATATTTGTAAGTATCTAAATTTAATTCGTGGTGCGGGAGATCTTTGCTCATATATATTTAAGTTAATCCATCAACTAAAATTGGAGGGGAAAAGTATAATAAATTAAGGTATAATTTATTTATATTTTGGGTTCGTGTCTCATCACAGGGAAGGAAATATGGCCCCACATTGTACCCGCGATGCACAGAATCACACATTCCCTCAAAACCTTCCATTTACACAAGGTGAAAGTGGGGACTCCCTCTGCCATGGACGTTTTGGAATCGTCGTTTCCACCATCAAACGGCACTTTCAGAAACGACATTGCGTTTCAGGTTATGAAACCCATGTTAAAACTTTTGCACAAAACCCGCTCATTTTTATTCTTGGATGTGTACCCATATTTCGCATGGTCTTCGGATCCCACCCACATTAACCTCAGTTATGCTCTTTTTGATTCCAACATCACAGTAACGGATTCGGGTACGGGTTTGGTTTACACTAACTTGTTTGACCAAATGGTTGATGCCGTTTATTTTGCAATGAAACGACTCGGGTATCCGGGTATTCGGATCTTTATTGCTGAAACGGGTTGGCCCAATGGAGGAGACTTGGATCAAATAGGAGCAAACATTCACAACGCTGCCACGTATAATAGAAACTTTGTAAAAAGAGTTACAAAAAACCCGTTTACTGGGACACCGGCTCGACCCGGTTCAGTTCTTCCCTCGTTTATTTTTTCTCTTTATAATGAGAATTTGAAACCGGGTTTGGGTACGGAGCGACATTTCGGGCTGTTGTACCCGAATGGGTCAAGTGTTTATGAAATTGATCTTTCTGGGAAGACGCCGGAGTCGGAGTTTCCGCCGTTGCCGCCGGCGGTGAATTATAAAGGGAAGGCGTGGTGTGTGGTGGCCGAGGGAGCGAACGTGACGGCGGTGGAGGCGGCGTTATCGTACGCTTGCTCGCAGGGAAATAAAACCTGTGACGCGATCCAACCCGGTAAACCGTGTTTTGAACCGAACACAGTGGTGGGGCATGCTAACTATGCGTTTAGTTCTTATTGGGCGCAATTTAGGGCTTTGGGTGGAACTTGTTATTTCAATGGCCTTGCCACAGCAATTGCAAAAGATCCAAGTAAGTTTTTTTTTTTTTAGGAATTAGAAATTTCATAAATTCAGTTTTTTTAAATAGTACTGGACATTTTTGTTTTTTAAAAAATTAACCATTTAGTCTTTCAAGATTATAAATATAAAATACTTTAGAAACTTATCTGTTTGAAATTTTAATTAGAATATATATAAAAACAAGAAACTTTCGAATTGCTAAAAAAATAAAAAAAGATGAAATAAAAAAACAATGGAACTAAGATATTTTATAAAATTTCTCAAATATAAAAAGGAAGATTGATTATTGTATTATTTATTATATAATGATCTAGATTTAAAAAAATCCAGTAGATTTTTTGTTTTTTCGTTCATGAAAAGATTCATAGAAGAAAATAAGAGAAAAAAACATTTTTTAGAACTAATTTGGGTTATATGTACTTTTATTAAAGACTAAGTGTTAAATTTATTATTTTAAGGAATAACTAATTATTGGATGAAAAATAATTAAAAGCCTAAATTTGAACCTTTTCTCTGACTTCTTTTTAATTTTTTTGTTGATTAAATAAATATTGATCTAACAGAAAAAAATTTCTATAATATCTTTTCCATATGAATTTGTCATTTCTTCAATGAAATAAATAATTTTTTAACTCCCTAATTTGCTTTAAATTTTTTTTATATTAATAGACTGAAGTTTTGTTATCACTTAAGGCTTTGATTTGTTTTAAAACTAAGTAAAAAGTTTTTTTATTAAATAAAACTTAAACTCATATATTTAGTTTGAGGACCTCTATTTAGTACAACAAAGTTTTCAATAAAACTCATAAACCTCTATTAAATAAAACTTAAACTCATATATTTAAAAGCCTAAGTAATGTTTTCAAACTTATTTGTTATTTCAACAAAGTTCAAAAGAAAAAAAAGAACTCATAATTATGAAAGTATTAAAAATTGACAAAATTTCTATTAGAAGAGTGTTAGTAATATACTTTTTATTATTAGTTAAAATTTATTAAAAATTGAAAAAGTATGAGAGAGAAACTAAATTTGAAAGTAAAATTTACATAATTTTTATAATTTTTAATAAATTTTAACTAATAACAAAGATTATATTACAAAAAGTTTTCTTAGCATTTGTTTATTTTGTAATATACATTATCTGTCATCTCTCCTTTGTCACTATGTGGGACCCTTACTTTATTTTTTGTATTGGTTTGTTATGTTTGCAGGTTATGGATCTTGTAAGTTTCCAAGTGTGACTCTTTGAAGAAAGCCCATGCCAATAAAATGTTAGTCAAATTTTGTTACTCCATCAATTTGATATTAATTGGGTCACTAGTCAATAAATATATGAGGAATTTGGAGTTCCTTTCATAGTCATTAATATATTGTTACATTTATTTTCATGAATGCATGCTTCTCCTTTTCTCTTTTATTGTTATATTGATTAGTTGAACTGAATGAGAGGTTTCTTTTTGTTTCAGAAAAGAAAAAACATTGTAAAAATATGATTATTTTACATATACAATTGTGGAAAGAGTGGAAGTCAACTTGTGTATTTTTGTATGATTGTCTCCCTATCACATTTTGTAAGTTAATATTTTTATTTTTATTTTGAGGTAAGAATTGGGGATTTTAATTATTGAATAAATTCAATTTACAGCAGTGCATTGAAGAGAGATCCCAATAACAACGTTTCCAGCTCCATCAGGATTCTCTTCTGTCCAAATATGATAGGTCTGCCACCCATTTATTATTGCAAAATTTGACTTCTCTTCCATTTCCAATTCTCCAATAAGCACATAGTTCAATTAATACACTATGAAGTGTAAATACTCTGCTAAATATAACTGGGATAATGCCTATTTCCAATTCTCCATTATGCTTGATCATGTCAATTCAATCGATCTTTATTATAAATGGAAAAAATATATATATGGATATTGGTTTGAGTTGCAATAAAATATTCCTTTTGGTCTTTTTGTAAGGTATTTTTAATTCAATTAGATAAATGAGTAAAAGCAATTAAAAATAGTTATTTCTTTTGAAATTTTAAAAGTTATCATAACATGACAATTTATCATTATTTAATATCATTATATTTAACACCATTATTAGTATTTACCTTCCTTAAATTTAATTTAAGTTCCCATCAATTTTATTTATTAAAAGAAAATAAAAAAATCATAGTAAATACTTTAAAAAAATCTATAAAAAAACCACTAAATTTTTTTAAAAGTGACTTATAAAAAATTAAATAAATTAAAGAGTAACATTGAAACCAATCATATGTGGTTTGATTTTAAAATTCTTTTTGGCTAATCTGAATTAGATGAACTCCAGTATAATTGAGTTAGTTCTAATGTCCTTATTCTAATTATGAATTTAGATCAATCTTTAATATAATTAAGAAAAAAAGAAAAATTTATTTTTATTAATTTTCATAGATTATTAAAAAGTTAAATTATTCATTTCATCCGTATAGTTACTTAATAATTGTCTACAAAATAGTATTTATACTTTAAAAAAATTACATTTTAGCTCCTGTATGAATATTTATTTACATTTTGACCTATTGTTTAAGTTTTAATTTTTGCCGTTAACAATATTAACAATGTTATAATAGAAACTAAAAAATAACAAAATAATTATACAAATAGTAAAATTTAATTTTTTTTTAAAAGTAAAGACTAATTTGTAAAAAAGTGTTAATTATAGAAATCAAATTTATATTTTATTTGTCGAAAAAAATAAAAAATGAGTCATTAAATAAAAAATTCATAAATTTTAAAAATACTGAAAACTTATATTTAAGTTAAATATTATATATAATTTTAAATCATATATATTTATTAATAAAACTTATATATTTGGTAAATACATAAATCAATAAAAAATAATAATTATAGTTAATAAAATATTAAAAATAATTTACATATGATAAAAAAATATTTGTTACGATTAAAAAATACATCTAAGCATATTTAGTCTTTTTTAGTCAATATAATAATAATAAAAATACTAGATATGCTTAGGTATTTTTTTTATTTAACTTATAGAGAAAGTAGTAAAAAGACTAACTAATGAGATTTTGAGTTGATATAATCATAATTGCTTACTTATACATGATAGAAAATTTATAAATGCATTCATGTAATAAATTTGATTCTCTAAAATTTTGAGTAATAGAATAATTTTATTTCTTAAATATAATAAATATTTTATTTATTATATGAAAAAAGTTTTTCAAATATATTATAAAATTGATATTTCATATAAAATTATAGGCTTAATAAAGTGCTTGGTCCCTAAAAAAGTTATACAACTTGTATTTAGTTCTTATAAAATATTTTATTAAGATATAGTCATTACTTTTTAACGAACTATTATTTTGAGTTCATTTAATTAATGTGATCCAACCAAAAGTTGACACTTGGCATATTTTAATGGATCATATTATCTAGAAGGATTATAAACAATAGTTTGAGATAAAGTAAAGTTATATGCTAACCAAAAAATATATATTATATATAAATTAATATAGTTATGTGTTACAAACTTATAATAAAAATTCTAACATTAATATTTTATTCACTATTTTAAAGGTAGGATAAAAAGGTAAAGTATACATTGTTTTATTACCGAATGTTGGACTTTCACATTTTGATAAATTTTAATTTTTCTTCAAAATGTAGAAATTTTATACTGAAATAAATAGTTTAGCATGTCATAGATCCTTTCTAAAAAGGGGTCATGAAATTTTAGTGGTATCATAGTAAACCTATGGGATGAAGTTACTAGGCTTCAGTGGTGTATTCTGAACAGAGAGTCTTAGCTGTAGATTATATACTATAATTCTCTAAGCATCAAGTTATGTCGAAGTGAGCTTGATCACTTCAGTTCTCTAACTTTGCAGATGTAGAGAATTTTGGCGTATGAGGCTAGGATGAGCTATAGGTGAGTTAGGTTATTGAGTAATATGCCATTGAGTTGAGTTGTGAAGAATTGTTGAAATAGTTGTGTTTGCTATTTGTATTAACTATGAATGCTAACATAATGTTGTGCTGAATGAGTTAAAATGTTATGATACGTTTGCTTTAATGCATTGTTGTATGCTGAGCTTATATATGAGCTGTGTTGATATGTGACGAAGTGTAATGTTTCGTAATTATGTTTTGTTTGGTAGATTAGCTAGATAATAAATGCATATTTTACCAGTATTTTACCTTAGTTTTTAATATATTTGATATAAAAAACATGATGGAAAAAGCTAGAAAACTCATAAAAATAATAGAATGTTCAATTTATTTCTAAATAGTTTAATTGTTAAGATTTTGTGAATTTTCTATGTAAAAAGTACTAATTAGAACCTATTTTGTAGGAAACTCTGAATTAAGATCATAAGGTTGGAGGATTAAGAGAGAAAGATAGAAGAAAAGTAGCAAATCTGGAGATAAGGAACAAGAATTGATGAAGATGTGTTGGGCGTTATCACTTTCGCTGGTGAAAGTGATTGTTCCAGAGCTTGGAAATGAAGGGAAATCTGGGCGTGATCACTATTGTTGGTGAAAGTGAGCGTTCCAGAGAGTTTCTCAGAAGAGTACATATGCGTGTTGTCACTTTTGCTAACGAAAGTGAGCGTTCCAAAGAGTTCCTCAACATAGCAAAGTGTGCGTAATCACTATCGTTGGCAAGAGTGAGCGTTCCAGTGTGCGTAATCACTATTGCTGGCAAGAGTGAGCGTTCCAGTGTGCATGATCACTATCGCTGGCGAAAGTGAGTGTTCTAGAGAGTTCTCCAGCATAGCAAGATGTGCGTGATCACTTTCGTTCACAAAAGTGAACATGCGGCCTCTACGTGGTTACTTTAGTGCAGAAAAGTGATAACGCGCAAAGGGCGGGAATTTTATAAATTGCAAAAAAGTTCAGAAACTTTGGATCTTTTCTCATTTTTTCATTTTCACACCTTCGGAGAGTTAGAGAGGGAGATTGGGGGCGACTTCCAAGCTCTGGACCTTGAGGAATCAGGCTGGAGATTGGATTTATAAAGAAATTCTGTAGCTCTTCTTCTTCTACTCTTTCTCTCTCTTTTTCTTCTATGAACATGTTCTGATTTCTTTTTCTTATGAATTGATAGATCCGATTTTGATATTGTAAATTGATTGTGGATCTGGATTTTAAGATTTGATTGTATTGAACGTTTAATTCTTTCCTTAATGCAATTCTTGAATTTGCTATTCAATTGAATTGAACCTAGAGGATTTTCATCAATAGAAGTTGAGTTAATTTATCATATCTGAATTAAATATCAAGGTTATGGATATCTTAGGAATAAGAATTCGTGATCTTGTGATCTCATAATTTCCAATGCCTAATGCAATGTTTGATTGATTTACACCTAAGGAATTATGGTAGTTAATTGAATATTAGGATCAATGAGTTAAGGAATTAAACTTTGATTAATCTAGCGAAATTGATCATCAATCAATTAAGGAACCTAGAGTTTAGGTCTACTTCAGTTTTGCAATTGATGAAGAGGTGAAATCAATCCTAAATTCATTCACACATCATTTCATTACTAAAATTTGTCACTCTGTTTTGCTGTGATTTTCTGATTTCTACAGTTTATTGTTTTTGTTTGCAAATGCTCAAAACATCTCCAATATTCGTTTGGCTCAACTAGTTATTGACTTGTGAAGTGGTAATTGATAGAACTAATCCCTGAGGACGATACTTGGGACTCAAACTGAATTTCAAATTTTATTACTTTCTACAACTACCTAGTACACTTGTTAGTTAGTATTCTCTTAGCTTTGTGACACTAGATAGTGGAATAATTAATTTTGAGATGGGGCTTGCTGTGAATAGTCTAAGTTGGTTTCACTTTGTGTTAAGATGACAACACCCCCGAGAAGACTTGTATCAAACCCTCCTCCACCTTATGCAAACTAGATGGCTCACGCTATGAAGGCCATGGCAGTAGTTGCAAGCTGCAAGTCAAGCGGCCGCTACAGCTCAGGCAGTGACAACCACATCGTAATGATTTTAAACAAAAGTAGATTCCTCAAATAATTATGTAATATAGAGAGCAAACTTAGGTCATCTGACAAGGACACAAGTTTATTTCGTTTCCAATTTTTAAACATGCAATAATGGTTAAATTGGGGGTTTTGTAATTTTTAAGAACTTAAACAGAAACATAAATTGGCAAAAATTTGAATTGCAAGAAGATGCAGTGAAACAAATTAAATTGAAATTAAACTAAGTAAACAAATTAAACCCAGAAAATGAAAGCAAAAATGAAAACAAATGTAAGGAAGAATGAATGCGAATTAAAAGAACGAATGTGAATTAAAAGAAACAAAATTAAAATGAAGGAAAATAAAAAAAATGAAAGCAATTAAAGTAACATAATTAAAATGAATGCAAATTGAAGTAAATAGAATTAAAACAAAAATGAATGTAAGAAAAACGAACACAAACAAAACACGAACTAGGATTAAAACCGAAAACCACAAACACGAACTAGGATTGCTATACTGAATTTACCTAAACCTTGAACGTAAAAGAAATCAATCTTACACTCAAGAATAAAAATCAAATTCAATCGAATTATGCATGCAAAAATCTTGATCAAGAATTGAGAGAAATCGAAAAGATAAACTCGGAGCAATCAATTGATCTTGCAATTCATGCTCGAGATGAGATGATTCGGGAATTCAACCAAGTAGTTGTGAATCAGAATACGAGTAAAATCAAATTGAAAAGTCGTAGTGGAATCAAATATTGAATTGTGCAAAATCTAGAAAGGAGGCAAGTAACAATAATGGAAAAGGTTTCATTTTTAAAAACGAGAAAAAATTCTCACAAAATCCTAAATTCAGAAAGGAGAAGAAGGAGCCAAATTCAAGCCTTTGACCCCTATAAATACTGGTCTTAAATAAGGCAGAAAATAA